TAACCATTTTTAACTGTACAAGTCAGTGGCTTTAAGTACAATCACAGTGTTGTGCAACCATCACAAATATTAATTTTCAGAACTTTTCATCATCCCCAAACATAAACCCTTTAACTCCTAATTCCCTCATGCCTCCATCTTCTGGGAACTTTTATTCTATTTTCTGTCTATGAATTTGCCTATTTTAGGTACTTTTATATACGTAGTATCATACAATATCTGCCCTTTTGTGTCTGGTTTATTTCACTTAGCTTAATGTTTTCAACATTTATCCATACTGTAGCATGTGTCAGAATGTTGTTCCTTGAAGTCTGAATATCCTGTTGTATGTATATACCCCATTTTGTTTATGTTTATCTGTCAATGGGTTGTATCCATTTGGCTGTTGTCAATGCTGTTGCTATGATCAGTGATGTGCAAGTGTCTGAGTCCCTGCTTTCAGTTCTCTTGGGTATACCTAGAAATGAAATAGATGAACACTATGGTACTAATCATTTAATTTTTTGAGGAAATGTAGTATTGGTTTCCAAAACAGCTGCATTATTTTACATTCCAATCAGCAATGCACCAGCATTCCAATTTCTCTACATTGTCCCCAAAACTTACTATTTTCACAGTTTCTTTTTTTTCAAATAGTCTTTTTTTTTTCATCTAAACTGGTAGACTTCACCAGTGAAGCCATCTGATCTTGGGGTTTTCTTTGTTGGGAGGCTTTTAATTACTGACTCAATCTCCTTAGTAGTTATAGATTTATTCAGATTCTCTATTTCTTCTTGAGTCAGTTTTGGTTATTGTGTGTGTCCATTGATTTCCCCATTTACCTAGACTGCTGGCATGCAACTACTCATAATATTCTCTATGAGCAACAAAAATACGGGCAAGAACTGTCAGAATCAACTTTATGAAATCTGGAATTTAATCAAAGCCTTGCAAGTGACTCAGTGAGGGTGAATTCAAGGAAAATGGCTGATTTGGGTAAGAACAGTGAAACTTTAGGACATTCTAACTTGCCCTCATCCCAGTCCCCATTCTCCAACTCAGGAACAATGTCAAAATGACAGCTCACATTTCCAATATTAGAAGAATCACAAGAGACCTCATTCACAAATAAATTACAGTTTATTTGTCTAACCTGTCTGAAAGCAGACCTCAAAAGCCTTATTTATTTCAGCTAATTCAAAACTGGTCCAGTGCTAAAGCTGCTTCCTGGGGGGACATCTGTCAAAAATACTTACAGACTGATGCTGCCTAAGGTGATGGATGGCATTTGGAATGAAGCTACATAAAGGCCTTTTGTGTCCAGTTTCTTTCACCTTCAAAGTTTACCCTTGTTGTTGCATGTAAGAATACGTCATCCTTTTTAATGGCTGAATAATATTCCATTGTATGGTTACCATATTTTGTTTATCCATCCATCAGTTCATGGACATTTGGGTTGTTTCTATGTTTTGACTACTATGAATAATGTTGTGATGAACATATGTATTACACATAACATTTGCTTATAACTAGGGGTGGAATTGCTAGGAACTGCCAAACTTTTCCACAGCACCTGCACCATTTTACTTTCCCATCAGCAATGTATGAGGGCTACATATTAAAATATCAACTCAGTTAACAATGATGTGTCAATACTGACTAATTGTAACAAATGTACTACATTAATATAAAATATTAATAATGGGAAATAACTGTGGGGTATACAGGAACAGAAAAGACTTTAAAAATAAAATAAAATGAAGGCTCAGTGTCTATGACACAATACTTACTACTCTAAAATGTGTGTAACTAAAGTCTTAGAAGAAGAGAAAAGAGAAACAGGAAAATATTTTTTAAATAATAGGCAAATGAATTCCAATATTAATGAAAACTACAAGCCAAGATGTTCAAAGAAATCTAAGCATGATAAATGCAAAGAAAGAAAACCACACCAAGGCACATTATAATCAATTTCCTGAAAAAGTTATGAGCAAAAGAAGTTTAAAGGAGCCTAAGAAAAAAATACACAACATGTACAGAGGAACAAAGATAAAAATTTGCTCAGACCTCTTATCACAAACTATCCGAGCCAAAAGACAACGAAATGACATATCTCCAGTCTTGGAAGAAAACAAACTACCACCATACCATTCTACATCCAGCTAAAATAGCCTTCACAAAAAGGCAAAATAACTTCCCTCCAAACAAATAAACGAACAAAAAACACTGTGGAAATTCATTGCCGTTAGTACTGCATTACAAGAAATGTTAAATGAAGTTCTCCTAGGCAAAAAGAAAATGATCTGAGATGAAAATCTGTATACATACAAAGTAATAAAGAACACCAAAAATGGGAAATAAGAAAAAATGGTAAATAAGGAGACAAATATAAAATACTTCTCAAGCACAAGAGTATATTTGTCAGACTGATAACAAAGAAATGGAATGCATGACAAAAACAGTGAACAGGAGAGGAGAAATTTAAGTATTCTCTTGTGTACTTTACATGTTAAACGGCCTACTCTTACTTGAAAATAGACTTAACAAATTAAAGAATACTACTATAAATTTAAAAGAAACACCTACATGATAATTTTAAAAAAAGGTACAGTTAATAAACCAAAATAGTGCTAATAAAATAGAGTATGGAAAATACACATTCCAAAAGGTGTCACGAAAAGAGGGCAAAAGAATAGATGAGATAAATAAAAAACAAAAGCAAACTATTGGTCTAGACAATATGGTGAACAGCCATTTCTCCCTGCTCCTCCCTGCAAAACTCTTTGTCTGAAATAACATGCGTGAACTGTAAAGTGTTAAAGTGGCAGCAGACTGGTTTGTGAGCCCAGGACTGGAGGAGTAACACTGCAGCATGTCATCTTACGTCCCTCCACTCAACGGAAAAATGCCATCCAGACTCAAGTGTTTCCCAGCCCTCCACCTAGCAACAGAAGGTGGTCCTGGTAGGCTCATTCCTCTCCCCAGATTAAAAGGGAGTCTTTTTGACAATTGCAGGCAAGCCTGAAACCCCAGGCAGCCTGGGGAAGCGCTCCGCTCCCCCACTGAGAGACTTAGCAAACCCAAACACCTGGTCCAGGAAACCTCCTTGCCTCCACAGGTTAAGACTTCCCTCTTCACCAACAGAGAGCAACTGAATGGAGAGATGTATCACATTCATGGATTAAGAGAGTCAATATTATTGAGATGCCAATTTCCCCCAACCTGACTTACAGAGTCAATAAAACTCTAAAACAATATTAAAGCAGTCTTTGTTTCTTTTCAGAAACTGACAAGTCCATCCTAAAATGTATGTGAAAATTCAAAGAACTTAGAATAGCCAAAACAATTCTGAAACAGAACAAAGGTGGAGAATTTATACAATTTCATTAAAAATTTACTATAAAGATAAGGGAATACAAACAATGTAAAGAAGATATATAGGTCAGTGGAAAGAATAAAGGGTCCATAGGCAGACTCCCTACCACACACACACACACACACACAAATACAAATAATCCATTCTTTCAAAGGTGCCAAGGTAATTCAATGGGGAAATGGTAGTCTTTTCAACAAACGGAGTTGAAACGGTTGAATATTCAAATTGAATAATACAAATCTTGACTCTTAACATACACCATATACAAAAATGTACTCAAAATAGATCATACATCTAAACATATATTTAAAACATTTAGAAAACATGGGGAAAAAGTTCTTTGGAACTATGGGATTTGCAAAGATTCAGTAGAAAAGAAAAACTGATAAGTTGAACTCCCAACAAAATGAAAAAAAAATTTTTTTGAAAAGCCACAGACTAGAGGAAAATATTCACAATTAATAAAGAAAATCTTATCACTTACTAATAAACAAATGAACAACCCATACTAAGAAGTGGCAAACAATTTGAATAGATGCTTTACAAAATGAGATACACAAGTGGCCAACAAATAAGTGAAAGATGCTAAACATCATTTATCAGAGATACGCAACTGAAAACCACAGTTAGATACCTATACACTCGTTAGAATGGCTGCATTAAAGAGCGACAATACCAAGTACTGACAAAAATGTGGAACAACTGCAACTCTTGCACACTGCTGATGGAAATGTAAAATGGAATAACTTGCTTCAGAAAACCTTGACATTACACATAATAACCCTACCAACTCAGAAATTTTACTCTAATTATTTACCAAAGAGGAATAAAAATACACATCTACACAAAAATGCACATTAAGTTCATTACAACTATGTTCTTAACAATCAAAAACTAGAAACAACAGGAGAATACATAAATGAATTGTAATATATGTATACACTGGAATACCACTCAGCAATAAAAACAAAGGTACTTAATGTACCTGCTGAAACACTGATGAATCTCAAAATCATGCTGAATGAAGGGAGACAAACAAGAGGACAGTTTGTGTAACTCCATTCATATGACATGCAATAAAAAAATCAATCTAACCTAGTACTATAAAGCAGATCATTGGTTTGCCAGGAGCCAGGAGGGAGAAGGAAGTCCCGGGAGGGACTGGGAAGGGGAGTGAAGAACGCCTCTGTGTAACAGATATGTTGTCTATCTTAACTGTAGGAGAGAGTGCATGTGATTATACTCTTATTAAACTCATTAAATTGGCTACTAAAGTAGGGCATACATTACCATGTTTAAATTATATCTCAAAGTTCTTTTTAAAAAAATTAAACCTTATTGCTTTAATACTGAAACTCTGAAAAATTTTTAAAATGATAAACAGAAAAATGGACAATATTGTTATAGTCACATAGTCATATATTATGTTTTATTAAAATAAATCAACTAAAGCAAAATATATCAACATATATAAATATCAAAACCACACATCTGAAGACAAAAGCAAGTTGCAGAACAGGTACCCACTGAAATAGTTGCAAAACAATGTTATTACACACACATACACAAAATAACTTATGTGTATTGTTGTAGAGGTAATGAGACATGTTGAAGGTGGTAGCAGTTACAGGATATAAAATGGGTGTGAGGACAGTATGCAGATGCATGAACTCTTCTTGTAATACTTTACTTCCAACCTGCAACGGGTACACTCATTGGTTATATCTGACTCAAAATTGGACATATGCATGAAATATCTCACTACAACTATACCAAGTTTCCCTCCCCTAAAAGGGTGGGCTGTAATTGGGTCAACAGGCTTAGCTTCAAAAGGAAGCTATGAAAAGCTTCCTGTAAATCTGAATTGGAGCGTTGAGGTCACATGTTCTAGAGTATTCCAGGCAGTATTCTAGCTTCATTCACACACTCAGCTTTCCAGTTACTGAACCTAAGGAGAGGAGGTAGATGCAGCCTCAAAGCTGCCCCTGGTGTTTGTTCTGATGAGATCTAGTCTACGCTGAGATTCCCTAGAGGTCGGCCCCAGGATGAATCAGACCATTAGGCACTACAGTCATCCCTCAGTATCTGCTAGGGATTGGCTCAAGAGCACCCCCTCAAATACCAAAATCAGCTGATGCTCAAGTCCCTTACAGCAGGCCCTCCGTATCCTTGGGTTCTGCATTGAGAATTCAATCAACCATAGAACCACAGACAGGAAGACACAGATATGCAGAACTGACTGTGTTTGCAGGGGTGACAGCACAGCCGGGATGAAAACTCATTAAAAACATGTGATGGCTCATAAAGCGGAAGGCCATGGGCTGACATGCGTTTCTCTAAAAGTGGAATCAGAAACTGAGATTATTCAACATATTTGTGCTTTTAAAAAGTCCATATTCCATGTACTATTCCTTCATATTCCACAGTTAATATTTTCATGTCTATTTTCAGTTTTATTTCTATTTAAAAAATTGAAATCAGTGCAAAACATAACTTTTAGAATAACATCATATCTAAAGGAAAATTTCTGTCCCTACTTCCTAAATGGACAGACATCCTCCAATACAATCTTCAGATATAATAAAGTCTGAATTTTGTTAAAGCCTTCACATTCAAAACATTTTGAAGACCTCATCTAACATCAATTGTCTTATTCAGTAAAATGGCATTTCTTGATATAAGCTCAACTACACTTGCTGTATTCTTTGCATAGCTTCCTTGTTATTCCCTGACATACAATGAGTACAACTTGTGTATGAAGGTCTCAAAAAATACAAGTTATTGACAGTTTTTCCCAAGTGTAGTTTATCTGATTGTTAGCAATGGCCAAGTTCTGGAAGAACACTTTCCTACATCCATTTGATTCACAGAATTATCCCCTACAAAATTATTTGTTTGATAAGCCCATACTTATATTTTCCCACACTTCCTAAATACATTAATAAAGTTTTTTCTACATGTATTCACTTTTAGTTGTCTTATTAATATTTTCAGACATTCATTATATTCATAATAATTTCCTCTATGGGTACTCTTTATTTACTCTAGAATATCACTTAGGGTGAAAAATTTGCAACTTTATATTCATAGAGGGTAACATCCTGTGTGACTTCTCCATACTATTTTCAGGTATGAGTCGCTAAATATTTTTCTCACTGCTATAAGATTTCTTCCCCGAGTATAATTTTGAATGGACTGTGAGAACTGATTTCTTAGAGGTTTTCCCACACTGAATACATTCATAGGGTTTCTCCTTTATGTGTCTTCTCTGATGTACTTTGAGATCTGAGTTGCAACTGAAGGTTTTCTGACAATAATTACATTCATAGGGTTTCTCTCCTGTGTGTGTTCTCTGATGTTTAGTGAGATCTGACTTACGACAGAAGGGCTTCCCACATTCATTACACTTATGAGGTTTTTCCCCTGTGTGTATTCTCTGATGTACAGTGAGGACTGATTTCTCAGAGAAAGATGTCCCACACTCACTACATTCATAGGGCTTCTCCCCTGTGTGAGTTCTCTGATGTGATCTAAGGACTGAATTGCAAGTGAAGGTTTTCCCACACTGATCACAGTGATAAGACTTTTCCCCTCTGTGTGCCCCATTATGTACTGTATAGTCTGACCTATGGCAGAAGGTTTTCCCACATTTTTTACACACATAGGATTTCTCCCCTGTGTGAGTTCTCTGGTGTTTAGTGAGATCTGACTTATTGTAGAAGGTTTTCCCACATTCATTACATTCATAAGGTTTTTCCCCTGTGTGTGTTCTCTGATGCACCGTGAGGACTGATTTCTCAGAGAAAGATTTTCCACACTCATTACATTCATAGGGTTTCTCCTTTGTGTGGGGTCTCTGATGTACTTTTAGGCCTGAGTTTCGACTAAAGGTTTTCCCACACTGATTACATTTATAGGGTTCCCCCCCCCCCGATGTGAGTTTTCTGGTGTTTACTGACATCTGACTTGTGACAGAAGGTTTTCCCACATACTTTACATTCATAGGGTTTCTCACCTGTGTGAGTTCTCTGATGTATTGTAAGGTATGAATTCCTGGGAAAGAACTTCCCACATTGATTACACTCATAGGGTTTCTTACCTGTGTGTGTTTTCTGATGTATTGTGAGAACTGAGTTGCTTATAAAGGTTTTTCCACATTGATTACATTCATAAGGTTTCTCCCCTGTGTGAATTCTCTGGTGTACTGTAAGATATGACTTATGGTAGAAGCTTTTCCCACATTGACTACATTCATAGGGTTTCTCTCCTGTGTGAGTTCTCTGATGAATTATGAGGTGTGAATTCCTAGAGAAGGATTTCCCACATTCATTGCATTTGTAGGGTTTCTTTCCTGTGTGGATTCTCTGATGTAAAGTGAGAAGGGATTTCCTAGAGAAGCATTTCCCACATTCGTTACATTTATAAGGTTTCTCTCCTGTACGTGTTCTCTGATGTTTGGTGAGTTTTGACTTTTCACAGAATGCTTTTCCACATTCATTACATTCATAGGCTTTGTCTCCTATGCATGTTCTCTGAGTTACATTAAGAATTGACTTCTCCCAGAAAGGTCCCCTCAAGTTGCTACATTCAAATGTTCTGTCTCCTGCATTAGGAAAGGTTAATCTGCTGAAATTATCCACTCCTTCAATACAATCACAATCTTTAACTTTCAGATGAATTCTACATTTCAAAAGAGATAATGTCTCAAAGGTTTTACCATATTCATTAAACTTATAAAGATCTTCTCTTTGTTGTGCCATCTCATTGGCCATGAGAGTTGAATAATTACAGAATGTTTTATCACATTCATTACGTTCACAAGGACTCTGTCCTATGTGAGTGTGTTTATATGTGATGAAAACTGTCTTCTCATGGAAATCTTTCCCATTTTCTTTATATTCAAAAGATTGTTCTACATTTTTAATTTTCTGACATGGAATGAAGTCTTCATTATGACTGAGGTACTTTTCATTTTGAATGAATTCATGAGGTTTCTCTCCCATATGAGTTCTTTCACAGTTAACATGAAAAAACAATTTTCCATATGCATTGAGGTATGCATCAGACTTCCTTCTTACATAGTTTTCCTCAATAATAAATTCTGAACTGTATTTCAAACTCATAGCACTTGTGTCACATATACAGGGTATTTTTATGGAAGGAACTGGGTCTGGGCTAAAATTAAACACTCTTCCTAATACATTACCTTTCTCTATAGCCAGTGTTTTGTTGCTGATAAATGGAGCTTGCCAGACATATCTGTCTTGGATTTCTTGACTCTGCTCTAGTTGGCAATAAACTCTGCAGACTTCTAAAAATAAGAAAAAAACTGTAAGTTATGAATTTTATTACATAATATGATGAACTTATATACAAATGCCCTTTTATATGGCTGACTTAGTTTCTTGAAATAAGAATAATCCAAAATGTTCATATCCCCCATCGTTTTGGCTTAGAAAAAACAAAACCTGATAGAGTGGAAAGAGGGGATAGAAACTTAGAATACACACGTCTACATTTGGTAATTTATAAATATAAACTTCAAGACTTAATATAGAGGTTAGAAATAAATTCAAAGCACAGAGCATAAAGAAAAATAGATTTTGGGAAAAAAAAAAAGACTGATCCAGGGATGGGAAATGCAGAGAACCAGAGAGGGAATAAAGATTAGTAGATAAGAGCACCCTAGAGAAATATCAGAGGAATGATCTGATCTTTTGAAGGAAACAGATGAGACTTTACATAATTTTCTTATACTTAAAATACTGCAGATAAATCTCTATGGTTTACATGTTTCCACTTCAATTCTCCTCTTTCAAAAATTATTTTTATTTTCTGTTATATATTGTTAATTTATTATACTGTTAATACCAAATTAAATATCTGGGAAAGTACTGATTTGTTCATGATTAAGGGGTCCTGTAGCCTGGTTTCTAATTCTCCCTCTACCCACGTGACTTAAAAAGAATACAAATGTCTACCAGGGGATGGAAAATCAAAGAGACAAGGAAGATTGCCAGAGGGCCAGATCCATCTGTTGCTTTTAGTTTGGGTATATTCAGCTTATTCTCTCAGAGTTTCTGCAAAAGTGAACCTATCCTATCATCAAATGCTAACTTCTCATCTTAAATTTGCTCTGACACAGTATTAATAAATTTTTGCTTTTACACTAGGATTTTCACACTTCTGGGGTTTATTTATATTTAAAACCATGGACATTTATATTTAAAAATATTCATTGACACTTATATTTATTTACCCTAAGAACTGTCAGCTAGACTTCATCTTGTTATCTTCCTTTCCAGATTATGCAATATAATAAAAATGATGACTTTGTTAAAAAACCTGTCCAGAGCCCACTGTCTGCAAGCACCATGAGACAAAATAGACTGAAGTTACAATTCTGGAGAAAGATAAAAACACTTTATACCAATTACATTCATATTGTATCCATGCTATCACTCCAAAAGTCCATAATAAATGTCTTCTTTCTAGGAATGTCAGACTGTTAATTTTCCATAAATTGTTCAAGTCCAACCAAGACTTTCACTAAGCTGGCTTACATTCCTCATTTTGGCTTGGCCCAGAACTTAAACATTAAACATCAGGGAAATGACACTGTCCAAATAAGTCTTTACAAACATCTCTACAATTTCAAGTTCTATTCACACTGAAATTTAAAATTTACATTCTATACATCTCATTCTATCACAACATTGAATAATACTCCTTTGTAACATAAACACCCTCTACTTACTGCAGAAATTTAAAATACCCAACTTTTTTTTCTTCCTTTTCCAACTATAACCTATGATCCTATAAGTGTTTATCTTTGATTTCCTCTGAATATCCTGAGTGGACACGGAATTACTGGTCCTTAACAAGTGATGTGCTTTTTCAAAATACACATCTCAACTTTTATTCAAGCCTATAATTTCTGAACAAGAATCTAGAGGTTTATAACCCAGTATATGCATTTAGAAGTTAATTCCTTGTAGTGTTTTCTGAATGAATCCAAAAAAAAAGCCCACTCATCAAGTCCCAATTAAGTAATGATCCAAAATCCATTATAAGTTACATAACAAAATAAGATATACCCTCTTTGGAGATATAACCACTTTGGAGAAAGCATAATATAGATAAGAAAGCAGACTCATTAATATCCATACTCTATCAGAATCAATAATCAGAATCTATAGCAGATAATGCAAATTAAAACAAGCAAGAAGCATTTCATAAAAGCTGTGGAACTTGAGCTTAAGTTAAAATGTATCAAAAAATTTTTACTTCAAAAGATAAAAATAAAAAATGAAAATAAAATGAATACATGTTGCAACATGTATACACAGATAAAAGTTAATGGGAAATACCAAGACTTGTTGAAAATATTTCTTAAAAATAATAAATGCCTACTAAATCTACAATTTTTATTATGAAAATGATGCACAAATATTTCATTGATGGGCATCTTACTGGTATTTAAAACAATTCATTTCAAAGCACTGTTAAAAAGCACATAAATACATACTTTCAAGCCTTCTCTTTTATAAATTCTAATCTGATTTTTAATGGATATATTTCCTATTCTGTTTCATGAATGGTGAAGCCAAGATCTGATGCACAAAGACAAAGGGAACAGAAAACACTAAGTATCTAAATAAAGATCAGTGGAGAGTCACCTTAAGGCAAGCACTGAGTGTAAAAAAATCAATAATTAGTACAGGCTCCTATATAGTGGAATAACATCCCATTTGGATCACTAACCAAAAGGGACTTAGTTATTAAACAAAATGTTAACACTGAGTTTATATCAGATTAGACCAAATTCTTTGGGAGGGGCATCTCAACAAATAAACCTTAATCCTGACCTCAGGATCACAGTACATAGTAGAGGGAATACCGGAAGTGGAAGCATACAGCTATAATATATTGCAGGATGTAATACACATAGAAAAGAGAAATAAAGGAATATGAGAGTGGAAACAGGTAGAGAATAATTTTTTGAGGGGATCTATGAAGACTTTAGAGGAAAGGGTAGAGATTTTTGGTTTTTTGTTCTGGACTTAGGACGTAAAAATTATAAAAACAGAGTTTTTAGTAGTATATTTTGAAATGAATAAGAAAATCAAATGGAATGGCAGAATATATAGCTCTCTCCTGAATGGCATAGGAAGACACCTTAATCATTTTTATCATGGTAAATGATGTACTATATGAGTCTGCTGAACAAATGTTGCACTGCGACTAACTTAGTCAATATATGGGAGGGAATAACTTCCAAATTATGAGTTTGGGTATTTTTCATCTTATAAATATTATTTGTTTTGTGAAAATAAGTTAATTTTGAGCACAGTGCTCTTTTTTCCTCAAAAAATTATTTATGGAAATATATTATTTTTCTCTTTTGACTCAGATATTAGATAAAAATCAAGAAACAATCTAAAATGAAGAGTAAAAAACAAAACCCCAAAATTTACATCATCATCATCATCATCATCATAATGATAATAAAAACAGGAAAAATAACAAACCATTACCATGATCTAGCAGTCTCCATATACTTTTCATGTATTTGCTCACAAGAATCACCTAAACACATAGGAATTAAACATAGAGTTGTAGGGAAGGAAAGCATATATATGGGTGATACTTAGGAAAGATTCAGTAGGAGTTTAGCACCCCCAGTTTTGTGCCACAGAAATGAGATGAAGCCACATTTAAAGGGTCATTAAAAGAGAAAAATTTAAATGTTGTATATTACTATTGGGAAAAAAATAGGACTCAGGTTACAAATATGATAAATCAGATGCTTTGGGCGGGGGGAAGAGTCTAATTTCATTTAGGAATTAGAACAATCAAAAGAGGAAACAATATGGCTAGTGTTTTCAGTGGTATCAGTGGAAAGTGAGAAGATAAGAATATTTTTTACACACTTTTACAAAAGTATAACACTAACAGTGATCTAATATCAGAAAGAAGGACAGAGAGAAAAGTTAAATGATGGCTATAGTTGTCAGCTGTAAGAGTAGAAGGCTATGGAACCTAGTAAATGTGGATAAGTAGGGAAGATTGTGATTTGTTAATGATGATTTTAACATCAGTTCTCGCCACATTGGAGGAAATCAGAATATCCTGTTAGAGATGCCCTGCAGAGAAAAAATACTGAATAACTGAATGAGCAAAGGAAGTGAAGATATAAATATGGAGTCACTGAAACCTAAAGTCTTGGAGCAAAATTTTATTTTATTTTTTGAGGATCCAATTTGACTATCTGAGTTTTAACTGGTAAATTTAGTCCTTTTACATTTATGGTGACTACTAAGATATATCAAGTTGTCTCCTACATTTTACTTGGTGCTTTGTATTTGTCACAGCTTTACTACTATACCCATTGCACTCTTCTTCCTTCATTTTGGACTAATTTGGGTTTTTTGTTATCTTTTCCATTTTCTCCTCTTTAAAACTTTGGAGGTTATACACACATTTCTCCACTTTAGATGGCTGTCCATTTCATTTGTCATCATGAATATTTAACCTAGCATTTGAAGTGATTCTGTATCTTGAATCTCTTTTTCTGAATAACAGAAGAATCAAATACAATTTGATCACCTCCCAAGTCAATTATGCAATTATGTTTAGCATATCATAGTGTCTTTTTCAGCCCTACAAATTAGGTTCATAATTATTTTATCCACATATTGTTTAGATTTACCCATATGTTTCCTAATTTCTTATCACTTACCACTCTTTCTCTCATCTCAAGCATTCTTTTGGGTTTCATTTTCTTTCTTCCTGTAGTATCTCTGTTAGAATTTTACTAACAAAGTTATACAGTAACAATATTGCTTCTATAACTTACTTCAGGATCAGTTCAAATTTAATGATACACTCTGACAAAGACTCTCTCCTTAACTAAATTTATATAAGCTCTTCTGAGACCTATTGTTGGCCAGACCTCGATCTTGGCCTTTCATGTCTGTCCTTGCTGAGCAGTTTTGGCAAGAATCCTTGTCAGTCTAGGAGAATTTCCTCCCCCTTGATGTCTGATCAAGTTCCTCATGCCCCAACCTTGATGTATAAACCTGTGGCCTGCATTTAGCAAGCATCCTGTTAGGCCAGTTTAGTAAGAATCCCCCTACCCTTGATTGTGCTCTTAGTAATTTTCTATTCCCTGACCCCTTCACTCTGCTTGCTCACTACAAATCCCCAGCTGTCTCTGCTGTACTTGGAGTTGAGCTCAGTTTTACTGAAACTTTAACCCTTATTGCAACAGTTACTGAATAAAATCTATATTGCTTTAACTAGGCTTTA